TTGTACAAGTGTCAATCAAGTCATCAACATACATACAATTATGAATGTAATGGTCGTATAAAAAAATATCAGCACAGTCGTTGGTCACTCGCAAGAATTTTAGCGAGCGCTGGAATTATCGCACCTCACTCGAACACACGCTCAGATCCATTGCAAGGGCGAAACACAGGTGAGAGAGAGAATTCGAAAGCTTTTTCTGTGAGACCAATGTTAGATAAAAACCAGTGATTTTCATTATTTAGTTTTTCCACGTTATTAGTTAAATTAGTTACTTGAATATTTTCTTTCATGAATTACCATTAGCTGGCTATTTGGGCCAAGTTTAGGTGCACGTTTAGTTTGTACACACCAGAAAAGTAACTCCATTCCCAATGGTCCAAAGATTCAAATTTTTGGAATATTCTGAATCCTTCATGAACATCACAGCAAATATGATTAAAACATTTATAGCTCCCACGTAAATAAGGAGTTGCGCGGCAGCTACAAACTGGGCGTTTGCTAAAATATAGAATAAGGATATAGAAACAAGAACCAGTCCCAACGAAAAAGCAGAATAAATGGAGTTATTAAATAATAGTACTCCCATACTTCCTAAAATAAGACCTGATCCCAACAAGACTACAAGAAAATCATGTATGGGTCCAGCGGCGACCTAGAATTGTTATTTAAATATCTCAATATAATCAGAAACAAATCATCATGTTTTTTTAGCGTAAATCCCAAAGCTTCCGTTCTATTCCTATTTTTGTTATTTTCTTGCCGTTTCTGTTCTTTTTCTTCCAACAAATTTTTGGCTATTTCTCCTCCGTCAAATGATTTACTCTCACGACAATTTGCTCAGTCAAAAGACATCAAGTGGTATTAGAGCCAAGTTAATCCATGGTATATAATTGTGTAGAAGCCAAGTTTATCAAAGCCAAATTGATTAGCTTAATTGGTTAGAATGTCGACCTAACAACACACAAGTCTCAGGTTCTCAAGGTAGTAAAAATGCACTAAAGCACAAAAATACACATGTCGTGGGGTCCATCCCGAATAGGCTCACACACTCCTCCACGGCATCGTCGAGTGTTGGCGTCTCCATCACCACCACCAAGAGGCTGGTGCTGCAAAGACGGACGTCAAGTCGTCATCGAGCGAATGATCAAGGAGACGACTGCCTCTGTGCAGTACTCGATGCTGACGAGGGCCAACTCTGTGTTCTCCGAGCTTGCCACACGAGGCTTGGTACAACAAGAAGCCAGCAGTACATCATCTCTGAGTGTTCGGCCGTGTCGCATACCTGAAGATCACGCATCCCTACCTCGCGTAGCTCGATCCCAGGGGGTTGAGGGTCATCTTCACCGGCTACAAACCCAGGAGCAAGGCCACCAACCACAACTCCTGCTACTCCCACTGAAGAAGTGGAGTTCGCAATACCACATACTGCGGATTTGACGCTGGATGCTGATCAAGATGATGGTCTGGCGGCCAGGTACCGGAGGATTGAAGACCTACTAGGAGGAGGTGAACCACCGGGACTAGTGGTGCGCGAGCTCGAAAAAGAGGTGTCCGAACTGCATGCCATCAACGCAGATGAACCAAGCTCCTTCGTCGAAGCAAAACGGAACACTGACGTCATCACTGAGAATAAGATGTGGAGGGCTATGTCCAAAAGCAACAGGATACCGAACCATAGGGAGCTAAAATGGGTGTTAAAACTAAAGCGTAACAAAGAGGGAGAAGTTGTGAAGCACATCAACTTACAGGTGGTCCAACTACAACGAGTGGGCTTCGTTGATGCGCGTCAACCTACTGGCGCAAGGGTTGTGGCACGCCATCGAGTCGTGGAGGAAGGAGAAATGATCGAGTATCGGAAAGACTCGGCTCTTTTCATGGTGAGCGCATTGATCTTATCCAACGTCCCCAATTTCGATTCCAAATCCACAAAAGTAATCGATGGTGAAACTGCTCTAGTGAGCCTCGTCGGTGAGGGGTCGAGAGATCTCGATGAAGAGGACCGACTGAGGAGCGCTGAAGGAGGAACGAGTGTTCGTTCAAATCGGCGAGAAACAAGAGCACCGACAATGGGTCCTCGACAAAGGAGCAACAAACCATATGACCAGGGCCAACTCTGTGTTCTCCGAGCTTGCCACACGAGGCTTGGTACAACAAGAAGCCAGCGATACATCATCTCTGAGTGTTCGGCTGTGTCGCATACATGAAGATCACGCATCCCTACCTCGCGTAGCTCGATCCCAAGGGGTTGAAGGTCGTCTTCATCGGCTACAAACCCAGGAGCAAGGCCACCAACCACAACTCCTGCTACTCCCCCTGAACAAGTGGAGTTCGCAATACCACATACTGCGGATTCGACGCTGGATGCTGATCAAGATGATGGTCTGGTGGCCAGGTACCGGAAGATTGAAAACCTACTAGGAGGAGGTGAACCACTGGGACTAGTGGTGCGTGAGCTCGAAGAAGATGTGGCCGAACTGCATGCCATCAGCGCGGATGAACCGAATTCCTTTACCGAAGCAAAACGGAACCTTGACGTCCATCACTAAGAATAAGACGTGGAGGGCTATGTCTAAAAGCAACAGTATACCGAGCCATAAGGAGCTCAAATGAGTGTTAAAACTAAAGCGTAACGAGGAGGGAGAAGTTGTGAAGCACAAGGCCCGTCTGGTGGCGAAGTGATGGTGTTACTATAACACGTGCAGAAGCAATTTGAATCTTAGGCACTCTAAGTACATCAATTATAGTAAATTATCTAGCATGCTCAAAAGCATTAAAACTCAATGAGTTTGAATACTAACCTTTTGTAGTTAAAATTCATTTTTCCTTACTAATCGATTTCGAACCACCACTAGTGTCTTCCCTACTATTCTCCAGCCTTAGAATGGAATTGTGGAATCCGGTGAGGAACTAAACTTGATAGGAATTTAGTATAGGTAAAGAGAGAGTCACTAATCGATTTCGAACCACCACTAGTGTCTTCCCTACTATTCTCCGGCCTTAAAATGGAATTGTGGAATTCGGTGAGGGACTAAACTTGATAGGAATTTAGTATAGGTAAAGAGAGAGTTTTGAGAGATTTTCTCAAAGTTTTCAAGAAAAATTTTCATGTACCTTGATCATTCTATTTATAGAGTCATATTTGCATGTTCGTGCAAATGTGAGATTACCAAATTTTGACACTCAATATTCCACTAACTCCAACATGAAATTTTTCCACGAGGTAGAGTCAACATTTTGACTTTCTCCATTTTAATTCAATAATTAATTTTAAATTAAAACAATATTAAATGATTAATTAATATTTAACATTAATTTAAATGTCAATCCTAATCAATTCCGGCATATATTGATTATGAATCCCTATACGTAATTAAAATAAAGTGCGGTTAAATATATCGTGTATATGTGGTGCATATTCCCTAATTGGAATTCGAACACTTCAAACTCATTCGTCACACTGTTCTAAGGTTTAGTCTGATATAAGCTAGCAGGGGGACCTAATGGACCTATAAATCATGGGCTCCAATGATTCGAGATTAACCGGCTAAACTCAATAACCTTGTTAACCAACATTCGTTAACTACTAAGACACTCCACTACAGCCTAGTAGTTGCACTCCCCTCACTATAGATATATTTCTGTCCATTTGATATAACCATGATTCGTAAGTCGATCCTTCACAGGTTGTTCGTAACTAGAGCTGGGTCAATTTACCGTTTTTACCCCTAAAGTTACTTCTTATTCTTTAAGTCCCACTGATCCTCTAATAAACAATTGGTTTGTGGTCCAACCACCAAACCGAATCCCTCTCAGGCCAATGAGAGAGTGGGACCCCTTATTCAAGGCCTGGAGTCCGTACTTAAGGGAACAATCTCTCCACTATCCCTAAAAGTGGGTAGGAGTGAATTCTATCTTGCACCCTATGTCCCTAGCTATTCACCTAGTCTTACCCTTGAAATGGGAGGCTTGTTGAGTCGGCGAACTCGAGCGACTCTCACCCATGAAAATCTAAGGATTATTCTGAATAAACAGGAGTTCATAGTTAGCTCAGGATTAAGGTCGAGTTACGTAGGTTGTCGAGTGAAAAAAATCAGTCTCAACAGTAAACAACATTATAAAGTGAGAGTGATTTTTCTTCATGGTCCGATCTTATGCAGTACTCATTGCATTGTGGTCCGATCTTATGCAATACTCATTGCATAGGACGCCCCTACTCACATATCTCCACATGTACTATTTAGTGATCACATTGCTTATATCATATACAAAAGTGGGCCGCATCCATAGTGTTCCCAGGATAAGGTACTCAGCCTTATCCCTGTAATATAGATCATTTTGACTATATACTTGAACTTGATCCACTCTTATGTCTCTACATATAGTCCAAGTAATCATACTATAGCCAGAGTATTCTTAGTTTATTGGATTTAGATTAATGATCGTAAAATTCACTTTATTCAATAACAATCTTTACTGAATAAACATCAATAATAACTTTATTGAAAATAGAATATGTTTTTGTTTACAAACTACGAGTTTTAGGACATAAAACCCAACACGAAAGGCTATGTCTAAAAGCAAGGAGTGGACTTCGAAGAGGTATTCGTGCTGGTGGCAAGGTTCGAAGAGGTATTCGCGCTGGTGGCAAGGTTGGAATCCGTCCGCCTGTTGCTGGCGATTGCGACTTATTGCTCTTTAGAGGTCAACCACATGAACGTGAAGTCCGCTTTTCTCAACGAAGAGCTGAAGGAGATCATCTACGTCCAACAAACACCCGGCTTGCTGGACAACGACAACTTCGACAAGGTACGGCGTCTGCACAAGGCACTCTACGGGCTTCGGCAAGCACCACGAGCCTAGAACGCGAAGCTCGACATTACCCTGTTGTCGCTGAAGTTCAAGCGATGTACCTCTATGCATGTATGTACACACACGGCCACAGCGAGCAGTGGCTGATCGTGGGAGTGTACGTCTAGGACCTCATAATCACTGGAGGCGACATGAAAGTTTTTGGAAGATTCAAGAGAGAGATGTCAAAGAACTTCATGATGAGCGATCTCGGCATGCTCAACTATTACCTCGGCATCGAAATGCAACAGAATACTGCCGATATCACCATCTGCCAAAGTGCGTACGTGAAGAAGCTACTAGACACAGCTGGACTAGTGGACAGTAACCTTACAAGAACACCAATGGAGGCTCGGCTCCAGCTAAGAAAGGTCGGCACTACGACGGCAGTCGACTCCACCAATTACAACAGCGTTGTTGGGAGTCTGCGCTATTTGGTTAACACACGCCCTGACTTTGCTTATTCCGTTGGATACGTGAGTAGGTTTATGGAAGCACCTAGAAAGGAGCATCTAGAGAGGAGCATCTAGTGGCTGTTAAGCGCATTCTACACTATGTAGCCGAAGCTAGAGGCTTGGGTGTGAGATACTACGCAGGGAGAGGAAAGGAGAAGCTTGAGCTGGTCGGCTATAGTGATAGTGACATGGGCGATGACGTTGATGATTATAAGAGCACCAACGGGATGATTTACTTCCTCTCAGGCGGCGCGATCTGCTGGCAATCAACTAAGCAATAGGTAGTTGCTTTATCTTCTTGCGAAGGAGAGTACATTGCCGCTTCAACGGCAGCAACACAAGGGGTCTGACTTGCACGACTGATGGAAGAACTCATCAGAATAGAAGGCGATCCACCAATGTTATATGTGGACAACAAAGCTACGATCTCCTTGATCAAAAATCCAGTTTTGCACGACTAGAGCAAGCACATAGAAATTAGATTCCACTACATCCGGAAATGTGCAGATCGGGGTCTCATCAAGATTGATTTCATCCGAACAGAGGAACAGCTTGAAGACATCTTCACCAAATCTCTAGTGGTGAAATTTGAAGAACTTCGTTCAAAGATTAGAGTTCAAACAATAAGGTAGATATACTATAGGGCTTTAGAGGAGATTGTTAGATAAATCCCTATTGTTTGGTTAAAGGTATTATTATTATTTTTTTTTTTTTTGTTAAAGATCCCTCTTTCTTCGTTTATGCCACACAAATTAGGTGAGTGGAATAGCCACGTCGAGGGCTTTAATTCAGTTGCCATTTATTTTTTCTGTTTTTAGGATATATTGTTATTTAAATATGCCAATTAAATGACAAAAAGGTATCCGGTCTTCAACGCAAATATTGTCTCTCTGTTTGTTTTTCCGTCATTTTCTTCTCCCAACAATTTCTTTGGTTTTTTTCCTCATTTCCTCACATTAGCTCAGTCAAAGATAACACGGGTTAACGTTGTCTTTGGTCATCTAAGTCATTTGTACTTTTCAGTAGTGAGCAGCGTACGGAGCTGCAACGAAACATGTTTTTTTTTTGCTATTAATATCATTATTTATTCCTTTAACGGCTGAGTATTACACATTGGAAAAACATGGATCATTTGTCTTGGATCTATATAATTGATTTGATCGAAAAACTTTAGTTTTTCGATGAACTTCTCATCAAGTTCTTGAACTTTGCTCGATCTTCGACCATGTTATTGCTCATTTCGTTGTCTGGGTAACACATGTTGGTTTCCACTTGTTCTTCTCCATTTGCGAGGAGGTTTGCCATAACATTTTCTTCATTGAGCATTAAAAGGTTGGAGGGTTTTCTCAGCCAACATCAAATTGAGCTCTTCATCATTCGTGAATGTGAGGTTTGCCTCCTCGATGTGCTCCTTGTTGCAGCACTCTATCGTATAATGCCAGTATTTTTTACAGGCATAACACTTAGCATGCTCTAATACTACTTGGGGTTGGCATCATCAGGGATTTTCGAGGTATTGTCACGACTTCCTTTACTATGACTAAAACCTCTACTTTCCTTACTGTGGTTTTCGTGTTCTTTTGTACTTGAAAAAGAAGAATCAACCACATATGTATTTTCTCTTCCGTGCGAGCCATTCCTCATGTGTGAGTAAGATATGCTTCTTCTTTTATTTGTCGTCATAGCCACGAAGTATCTACTCATGAACTTAACATGACCAAAGACCTCCAAAACCAACATGTTCTTGAGGTCATCGAACTACACAATGGAGGTAACAATCTGCATGAATCTCGGAGGGACAACTCGAATGAGCTTCTTAACGACGGAGATCTTCTCCACGTTGTTGCCCAACAAACGAATGCTGATGATGATTGTCGTCAAGTTTATGGCAAAGTCGTCTATTGGCTCACCGTCCTTCATACAGATAACTTTGAACTCACTCTTCAAGATCTGCACCTTTGCTTCCTTGACCCGATCCACACCCACATGCATTGTTTGTAGCATCTCCCACGATTTCCTTGTCGAGTCCTTCTCTGCCAACATGCCCTAGGACTGCATTGTAGATGACATCAAAAGGCATTCTGTCCTTACATTCCTCAACATTGTTACCATGCTCGATTACGTCCCACACGCCTTGTGCCTGTAAGTGTCGCATCTTTATTGTCCATGTTGCGTAATTACTCTTTGTGAGTAATAAGTATTGGAGCGTTGTAGTCCCCTCATTTCTAATTTTTATCATTGTCATATCTCCTCTGGCGACTTTGTATGCTAACGACATCTGTCCAGAACCTAATTCTGATATCAAATGTTGGATATGACCCTTAATCGAAGTAACCCAAAACAAATAACTGAAGCATAAATAATAACTTTGAGGGGAGAGATTTTTTGTTCTAAGAACCTTAAACACTTATGTCTTTTAGCTCTTTTGTTGTTGTGAATATAACATATATGTGATAGAGTATATACACGGAGAAAACACTAACAAATTTATTAAACGTGTTTAAGTTAATAACTATTTTTATTGAGTCAAGCTTATTAACTATCTTAGTTTATTATTATTATTATTGAAGTCGAAGAAATTGGAGGTGGAAAATCAAACCTTTAACCATATTTTTTCATATATTTTCATTAATAGAAACAATAAGATAAAAATGAATCAAAACTTGAAACATGTATGTCCAATTAAAAGTTAAGAGTTGATGGAGATGTAATGGTACAAAAGCTAAAAGCATGAAGAATTAATGGTTTACATAAATTGGGTTGAGACTATGACCATGAAACCTTATTACAAAACTCTCTAATTATCCTAAAAATTCTACTGGATCCAATAGCTTAAAAGTTACAACAAAATAATCATATTAATTAGTTGCTATGATTTATCGTGTATATACACATATATTAATATATATGACACGTACGAAACTATAGGACACGTGTCAACATTAAATTTAACCATGCCAATAGTAAAGCCATTTACTTGGATGACTTTAGTCGAAATTCTATCTAACTTCAAATTAGCTTGCTTTCGTTCCTCGAATTCATTCCCATTCATTCTTTCATCCAAATATTTTCTTTTTCTCATCTCTATGTTTCCTCTTTTTTTAATTGATTTTTCATGGAACCTCAAGATGACGTTGCAAAGAAGAAGTAGAGATTGGTTTCATACCTTTTGAGGAACCAAAACTCAAGATAAAAGTCGTTAAAATTTGCCAGATAACTTTATCTAGTGGGACGATCTAGACGTCTTTAGAATTCGATTTCTTCATGAAACCATTTCGTGGATACCTCCAATTTCCCGTTTGAACCTCACATATCCATACCTTTTTTTCTACAAATTTTGAGATTTATTGGACAACCCGATAGAGAACTCCTCACCCTTCGAATTCTTCATGGATCCTTCTCCTCTCAATGTCATGAAACTTATGGTATCCTTTGATTGGAGCTTGATGGACCATGTGTTAAGAATTTGGAGTTTCCACCAAATTCATAAAAAAACGGACCTTATAAGTATTTCTTTGATTAACCTCGATCATGAGCTTTTTGCTTTTCATGGTCTTCCTAAAAAATACTTCTCATCATCCCATAATAAGTTTGGCATAAGTTCGAGTCATGAATTTTCTCATAGCCTCAATTGGATTTTTCAAAAAAGAAAGAAAAAAACAAGAACTTCCTATCTCGATCATGGAACTCGAATTGGCAATTATGTTTGGACAATTTTTAGCTCTCTAATCTTTCATCAAACTTGTTTGGAAATTTATCTAGAACATGTAGGATCGGTTCGAGAAAATTTGGTGGACTAGAACCTCTTAATTTATGAAAATGAGAGTGACACACCATAAATACCCATAAAGTAGAAGCTCAATTATGTTGATTTAGACACTCTCAAGCATCTATTCTTCTCCAAGATGTTCCTCCACGCTTCCTTATTTATAGCCCAAGCGTTGGTTCTCATGGAAATCTCTAGAATCGAGTTGGTTTTGAATCAAAGATACTGAAAAGCCCTTTATCTAATTCATTCTTAATTCCAACCGTTGGATCTTAGGTTCCACATGTCTATTTGTTGTGGTTCAAATTTGGAGTGACGTGGACGGGAAGATCTCCCTAAAAGTTAGATCGACTCTAAATGGTTCATTCTTAAACTTTCTAGATAAGGCAATAGCATTTTTGTAAATATCTTGAACTTCAGGTGTAGTTTCGTAATTTAATTTTTAAATATTTTATTATTTTTCTGAAAAATTAAAACTTTTCTTAAAATATTGTTTACCCATTTTTTGTCACTCATTTTCTTTCTCCCTTAAATTCATTTCATATAGAGAATTAAAAATCCGAAAAAATTCTAAAAAATTAGAAAGATGACCTTTTTGCTTTCTTTTTCCTTTCTAAATCTTATTCCAAGGTCTTGGATCCTTATATAAAAAGTTGTTAGGGCTTTGAAGTCACTTAGTCCCTTGTCCTTTGTCCTTTTACATGTGTTTTAAGGTTGATTTTGAAAAAAATTATATGTTTAAACTTTATTTTAAATTGTTGTATGTGAATATCAATTCAGATCACTGTTGAAAACGATAAGAAGAAGAGAAACAAAAGTTGAAATGTGCATGTCTAATTTAAAAAAATATATATGTATGTATGTGTATGTGTGTATATATATATATATATATATATATATATATATATATTTGTAACACCCGAACTTAGTAGGTACGAATGACTCGTTACTTTCCTTCTTAAAATTAAAAAAATGTATAATTATAAAATTATAAAATTTTATTGTAGGCCGAAATGACCAAAACTCAAGTTATTGAAGAAGGAAAACATGCTCGTGGAAAAAAAAAAAGTCATTTTTCCCCTATTCCTACTTGAGGGTCGAAAGGGTTTGGAAACAACAAGAAAAAGAAAAAAAGAGAGAGAAGAAGAAGAAAAATATTAGGGTTTTGGAAGGGACAGTTGACTTCTGGCAATTGGGAGGGAAGCGTAGACGAAAAAACTGGCCGAAGGAAAATTTATTCGAACCTAAAATAACTGAAAGTAAAAAGAGAGAGATTTGTTGAAGATGGGATGATTTGATTTTCATTCAGTTCAATACTTTAAATAAAACTTTAATCCTACAAATGGAAAATAGTGGGCAAAATTTGCCCAAAGCCAAAATGGGCAAAAATTAAGCTCTTCCATTCAACAGGGAGGGTTAATTCAAATTTTTGAAAAGTAAAAAACAATTAACGAAATCTAAGGAAACCATAGCTTTTATTTAACAATCTCCTCCTAAAAGTTGTGATATATCTAC